ACGGGGTTTCACCATGTTGACCAGGATGGTCTCGATCTCTTGACCTCGTGATCCACCCGCCTCGGCCTCCCAAAGTGCTGGGATTACAGGCTTGAGCCACTGCGATGTGTCTCTCTGCCTAGTCCCAGTGGGCAGAAGCACCTGTGGTGGGGTCAGAGGGTGGACCACAGGCTGTGGCCTTCCAGCGTAGGCCATCCCCAACCCCAGAATCTTTGCAACCAGCTCCTCCACTCCCCAGAGACCCTGCTTCCAGGCCTTCCTGGCCTCCATCCTGGGTGGTGGCTCTGCCCTCAGAGGACACCACTTAAAGGGGTCCCTGGTTCTCCTGACCCTGGGGATAAGGGTGATGGGAGCAGACTGGCCCAGTGAGAGTCGCTCTGCACAGGCCTGCTGGAGTTCCAGTGAGACTCAGTGGATTTTCTCTCTGCTCAGCCACACCCAGGATGGGGGTGGGACTGGGGGCAAAGCAGTCTTCTCTGGTGAACTTGGCCTGGCCTTTTAGGCTCTGACTCAGGTGCAGGGGTTAATCCTCACCCTCACCCAGGCTGGCTGTGGCCTTGCTCCCGATCCTTTCTTTAGTCCTGTGTTCCCCACTCCCACCCCTTCTGTACTTCCTCCCCACAGCCTTTATCTCATCGGGAAAGAACACAGGACACAGAAGGTCAGCTGGACAGCCCAGCTCTGATCAGGGAAGGGCTCCTGCAGCCCCTCAATCCTGTCTGGCACCTGCTTCAACCCTCTGAGCCCCTGTTGGGGTCTTGAGGCTGTCCAGGTGCCTCCCTCTGGCCCCCTCCCCCTGGGGCAGGAGGATGAGATGGCCACTTACCCCTGGCTGGGGCCCGCCCCCGCCCCGGTAGCGGAGGTCTCGCTCCTCCTGGTTGAGGGAGCTGAGCAGGGCCTGCAGGCGCTCGATGTACTGGATGGCGCTGCGCAGGATCTCCACCTTGGGCAGCCGCTGGTTGGGGTTGAGCAGGGTGCTCCTCTTCAGGGCCTCGAAGGCCTCGTTCACCTTCTTGAGCCTGCGCTTCTCCCTCAGTGTGGCTGCCCGCCGCCGGTCCACGGACACCGACTTCCTCTTACACACCTTACATGCCCATGGCAGGCACTGGCCGGGGCAGTGTTCAGGGGTTCCCAGCCCCTTGTCCTCGAGGGGCCCTCGGGCCTCGGGGCTCAGGCTGAGCTCTGTCCGCTCATAGCCTGGTGGCTCGAAGCCCTGGAGGTGGACAGGCAGGTAGTTTTCCCCGTCATAGAAGCGGGGTTCCTGGTAGAAATAAGGGGATGTCTCATACAGCTCCATGGGGTCGGAAAAGGCTTGTTCCTGCCACCAGCCCCCAAGCTCCTGCAGCCCCTCACGCCAACTGCTGGGTGCCATTTAAACCCTCCCCGCTGGCATGGAACCAGAGATAAATATAGCCAACACCACAGAAACCTGAGCCCCCTCTAAGCTGTTGCTGCACATCAAGACGTTTACAGTGGATTACATGTGATTCCCCTTCTCTCTCCCCCACGGCCCCCACCCCACCCAGCCAGCCTGCCCCTGGCCCAGGCGGGCTCCTGTGCACGGGTCGGGAGGCCGTCGGGTGTAATTTGATTAGTTTTCATTTCTCAGCAGCCCCGGTGGGGCAAGGGGTGTTGGGGGAGGACACATTCCCCTCTCATCTGCTCCTTTCAATTACTCCTAGCTGGGCGGCCTGCCCGCTCTCTCCTTGCTAGTCTCAAAGAAGCTGGTGGGTATAGGGGCAGGAGGGAACAAGGAAAGGTAGGCTTAGGCTGGAAGGGGCCCTAAGAGCCAACTTATCCATCTCTCTGCTTCCCGGCAGCACCTTAATCACACTACATCAGTTGGATGAGACTCTTTTAAAGACCTCCCTCTGAAAAGAACGGGGCTGCTTCAGGTTCTGGCTATCCACGGGCACTCAGTATCCAGGGATAAGAAGGATCGAGACCCAGAGTAGCTAATGGATTCCACTTTTGGAGTTCCCAAGCATGTTCTCTTAGGTCTCATGTGATGGCAGGGGGTAAATTGAGGCAAGAGAAATTATTTGGGTTTTGGTTTTCTTGCCCAGGGGTCAAGAGAAATTTTCTCTTTAATACAGCGGCCACCGTCAGAGCAGGGATTAGAATTTACAGGCTACACGTTGCCACCTTCCCCGGAGCGTCAAGGTCAAGATTACTAAGCTCCCTGTCTCCTCCCTGTCTCACTCCGGACCATTGATCTGTCCTTCTATGTTACCTCCTCAACTCTTTTTCCAGCACCAGAATTTTCCTGACTCATTACTGTGGGTGGGGGTGGGAAAGGAGAAAAAACAGAGCCCTTCAAACTCAGTTTAAATCTCCTCTCTCCTTGACCACCGGGCTTGGTTTTTCTGCCTCTTCCTGTTCAAGGCATCAATTTTACAAGTAACATGCAGGTCTCAAATGTCAGGTGGAGCAGGGACTATTTAATCTTCAGGCCTCTCAGGCCATGATCACCTCTCAGTAGGTGCCTCAGGGTCTGAGAGGACAAATTCCTTCCAATGCAGTGTGCTTCAGACAATAGCATGAACAGGGCTCAGTCTTAGGGCTGGGAATTATAGGGACACCCCAGACAGGGTCCCTGCCCTCGACCTTACCATCTGGTAAACAGCGGTGGTCACCTCTTTCTACCCAGCCCCTGATGCCCAAATCCCTCCCAGGTGGCCACTGTCAGCTTCTTGCTCACGTCAGGAGACAGCTCGTTCCATTGACGTGCAGCTTTGAGCGGCAATCTGCTCCCTGTATCTTTTACCCTTTGTTCTCAGTTTTTTTTTTTTCCCTAGGACCCCATAGACTAAGTCTGATCTGTCCTACTCCTCATCCGATGACAGATCAAACTGATAAGTTTAAGCCGGTGGCAAGGACAATGGAGGGGGGACAAGACTTCACAGGGAAGGTGAGACCTGCATGGCATGTGGAGAACCAGCATTCCTTCTTGTCATTATTCCCAGCAAGGAGCCAGGAGAATTCTGATGGGCTTTTGGGATAGGAAACAGAGGGAAGGCGGGAACACAGCTGGGCAAGAAAAGAACCCTAAGCATGTTGAGGGGGAGCTGTGAGGTCCTAATTCTGTTCTTGGCCTTACCGGCATGATAGAAAGTAGCACGCATAGGCACCGTGGGTTCTAAACCTTGCTTTCCCCTGACCAGCTGGGCTGAATAAGAGTCTCCATTTCCAACACATCCCCTGCCAAACAAAGAAAAAAGAAAAAAAAAAAACATGCCTTGGTTTACACCCCAGTCCTGTGAGCCCTGTGAAAAGAAGTCATATTGAAGCTACTATAGACACCCCCAGAGTGCATCTTTTGTCACTCCAGGATCCAGTGTGACTTACCTCTAAATAATGTGTCTTCTTCCTATAAAATGGAGGTGGAGCTGGCTTGCTCTGCGGTGGTTTCCAGACCTTACTATCTAGTTGGTGAGCATGGGCTGACATGTGAAACCTGGATTACAAGACAAGGGAGAGCTGTGTTCATTTTGCAGCAAACATGGGGGCTGTGAGCAATGGCAAACCAGTAGGTTCTGCAAAAGCGTTCTGGGAATTTTTGGGATAGCAAAACTGCTGCAGGCTGGGCCTCTGCGGAAGGCTTGGGGAGCATGCTGGGCCAGGTCTTGGAAAACTGGCAGGATTTGGATGAGGAGAGGGAGCAGGGCAGGAGGACATTGGGTAGGCTGGTTTGTATGGAGCTTGGGGTTCAGGCAAGGGGGCGTTGGAGACGAACTTGCACAGCGGGGAGGATGCCCAGCTGGGCAGGGAAGGACTTGAGAGCTGAGGCAAGGAGGCCACACAGAACAGCATGACAGTTGTCCAGGAGTGAGAATCATCTGAACAGCCCGCTCAGAGGCAGGAGGATGGATTCGACTGGGAGAAGGCGCGTGTTTCCCGCTAGCGAAGGGTGGTGAGTGTGCACGAAGTAGGAGAATGGTTGTATTAAATGAAAGGGCACTTGGCACATGGCTACACCTTGCAAATGTTATTCCCTTTTCTTGCTTTGTGTTTTCTTCTACTTCTGAGTGCCCCGCAGGGGACCATAGCAGCAGGAATGGAGGAGGCAGAACCTGGCTCCACCCTGGGTGTGTTTATTCATTCATTCATTTTTTTCCATCAAGTACCTTGTATTTAGCACCTTTGCCAGGCGCTGGGGTCCCTAAGACATCCGCTGTCTGCCTTCAGGGTGCTCACTGATGAGTACTCACACAAAGTCATCTAACCAAGGTAGAAAGAGCAGGCTAGAAAAAGTGCTGATGTAATCCAGAGAAGGAATTCATTCATTCACTCCTTCATCTGCTTAACACATATTTACTGAGAACCCACTCCATGTCGGTCCCCCATCTGGGACCTGGCCTGGGGCAAGAGCAGTGCCTAGACTCGGCGCTTGCCTGCAGAAGCTCTGCCGGGCATGCGTTTGGCCTTGTGTCTGGATATGTTTGCCTCTGACCAAACATGAGGGCAGAGCCTGGAGGTTAGGGTGACTGTGTGTGCCTGGTTTCTGTGAATCTCTGTCTGTGTGTGTATTTGCGTATGTCTGAGTAGAGTGGGGTGGGGACCATGTCAGGGCCCAGCTGTGGGGCACAGACCCTCCTAGGACTGAGCTGATAGAGTGACCCAAGTGTCTTTGACCTCTCCATACCCTGACAGGGGGATTGGCCGTTTACCCATCTTGTTCTTCTCTTAGAGCCGAGCTGTGGAGATGCCTCATCTAGAGGCTTGGTCCTCCTCCCCCTGAACACCCCTCCACCCCCACAAGCTGCCCTCTGATGGATGGGAACACATTGGTGCCAAGCACAGAACAGCCTTTGTGCTCCGCCACCAGCGGCAATCCATCAGCTCCACCCTGACAGCAGGGCGTCCGGCCCTAATCCCCACCCCTCCTGGCTTGGGCACACAGGGCCCCCTGCCCTGACGGGAGCCTCCTCCTCCAGCAGTCCTGCGCCCTCCAGAGGAAGCCCTTATTCCCCCACTGGGGCTCCTCGGCCACACTGTTGGCTCCCCCACCCTGACTGTCTCAACTTGATTCTGTCTATTTGCATGCTGGGCTGATGTCATTTGCATGGTAGCGGATGGATTTCAAAATGCTTAGAAATCCCCTTCACCTGCTCCCTGCTCCTTGCTACCCCTTCTGCTGCACACCCAGTCACAGCTCTCTGGCCTTCAGCGTCTTCCAGTTCCTGCTGACACTCAGGTGGGCTGACCTGGGCTGCCGAGGTGTTTGGCTAAAATCAAAGCAAATTTTCCATTCTAGAGTCTCATGTGCTTGGGAATAGAGAGCAAGAAGAAGGGCCTGGAAGGGTGGGGGCCTCTGGCTACTCCAAACAGATGCCACCATATATTTTCCTATGGGTCTCTGGGTACTATTGATGAGGATGAGGTAGGGGGTGGCACATGCATGTGTATTTCAATAGGACATAGATGCATAAACATTACATGCAAATTGACATTATTTGTGGGGCAGTAGCTTTGCAGCAGGATGAGAATAGATCACAGAATCACAGAATGTCAGAGCTGCAAGGCAGTCTAGAATCCACTAGTCCGCCTTCTTCCTCCACACATGGGGAAACGGAGGCCCAGAAAAAGGTAGTGATTTGCTCAAGGGTACAGAGAATGAGTGTCAGAAGTGTGAAGGGTGCCTGTTCTGAATCCCGGAGCCTCCTCTCCCCCGCTGAGGCTGGCAGGTGAGGAACAGTGCAGCAAGTGAGGAGATAATTTCCCGGGGGGCCACAGGTAGGCAGACAGTGAGGGGCTGGAGAGTTTGAATGGAGGGTTTAGAGAAACATCAGGAAAGGTACTGCTGGAGAGATGAAAAGAATATACAGGAGAGGTGTGAGAGAGAGCGTGGGCTGGAGGTGCCAGGCAGTGGCCTGGGGGATTGAGACAGGGGAGGTTTGGTGGCAGATGGGACCAGGACTGAGATGTGAGGAGGAAGGGAGGGTCCCCCTCCACCAGGCCTCTGCAGCCACACATTGTCTCCATGGAGGACTGAGCATCGGATGACCACTGGGAAATCCCGTCCCTGCCTGGAATCTGAAGCTCAGAGCTAGGATCATTCTTCAAGAATTTCTGGCTTTAGGGTGTGGGAGGATGCAGACCCGGAGGTGGAAGGGGTTGGGTCCGAGGAGAGGGGGTGAGGGTCAAGGGGAGGTGATTGGTGGAGACGAAGCCGAGAGCTGGTTTTAAAAATAACCAGAACTGGGCTCAGCAGTGTGAACTGGGAACGTGGCTCTGGTGGGGCCTTTGGAAATATGGACAGGGATTTCTTACAAGTATTCTACGTTCCCATGGGAACAGGGCCTTCAGGCCTTCAGCTCCTGGTTAGGACAAATACTATCAGGATGCGGGGGGGGCGGTGGGAAGTAGAAGAAGGAACCCTGGATACGGAGT